TCTCTCTCCTCACCCCGTCTCCCCTCTCTCTCCTCACCCCGTCTCTCCTCTCCTCACCCTGTCTCTCCTCTCTCCCCTCACCCCGTCTCCCATCTCCTCTCACCCTGTCTCTCCTCTCTCCCCTCACCCCGTCTCCCCTCTCCCCTCACCCCGTCTCTCCTCTCTCCCCTCACCCCGTCTCTCCTCTCCTCTCTCTCCCCTCACCCCGTCTCCACACACTCATATAGACACACCACACACTCTCACACACCACACACTCATATACACACTCATACACACACCACACACTCTCACACTCATATACACACACTACACACTCTCACACACCACACACTCTCACACTCGCACACACACTCATACACACACCACACACTCTCACACTCATACACACACCACACACTCTCACACACCACACACTCTCACACTCGCACACACACTCATACACGTTGAGTTTTCACGAAACTAAACCCCACAGGAAAACACACGAAAACAGACGGAGACGCCACCGCCAGCCGGAGCCCGGTTACCTGGGAGAAGCGAAGGTAGCACGCGGGTCTGAGCGCTGTCCGTCCGTGGTCTCGCTCCGAGGGCTCCAGCAGCTGGTCTGGAGTGCAGCGCCTCTGTGCCGCCCGGGGTCACCATGGCGACCGCGGTTCTGGGCGGCAGGCGGTGACGTCACAGTGGGAGGAGCTGGGCCGGGGCTCAATCCTCTCCTGTGATTATTATTAAAGCGAAAAGTGTAAAATAAGCAGTAGCGACATCGTTATTTGGGCGGAATTCTGCCGAATCATCAGAGGTGAATTTACAATGTCAAAACGGCAGAATACAGACCTTCCGGCGTGTATATCTGCAGAACCCGCGGCACTCGGGCAGTGCCTTGCAGAAAAGCTGTTAAAGTACACAGTACAAACGTCGTTAATTCGTTAACTCGTTAATAAATGTGCGATAATTTCCTCAGAAACTGTCTTAATTACCCAAAGGATTCGAGAAGTCAAAAAGAGTTAAAAAATAATAAAAAGAAATGCTCTGTTAAATGTCTGTTAAAATGAGGCAACAGGGTGTTTCATAAAGCCCACTCTAACCCTAAACTTCTGTGCGCAACGTCCACAGACACATACTGTACATTTCAGTCACTTGAATACTGTGAACAACATCAGCACTTCATTTTCTTATTTGTCAAAGTGTACTGTTTTATATTTCTGACCTGTACCGATATTAAAATATGAAATGCTTTGTGTTCTTTCAGTGGAAATGAAGCGCCCTCGTGACGTTGTCTCTAATGTAATAATGGACTGGCAGCGCGCGTGCTTTCCACGGCCGAGCGCGGCTGCGGTTGCTTAGCAACCACAGAAAACTGAGGGCTCGAGCTGCAAACGGGCAGCGGACTTGCGGGAGTTTTGAAGAGTTTGACAAATCGGTCAAATTTAAAACAGAGGAAAAACAGCTGCAGGAGGTCTGTTTTTACTACCAGGGCTGTCAGGCGATCGTCTCATGTGGGTGTAGTTGTAGCTTCGGACAAGAAGTAAAAAACCGTCGATTTTGTGAGTTATAACCCGCCGTCTGCCAAACGAGTAAAGAAAACAGTCTCGAAGAGCACTTTTATAAGTGATTCTGTTTCCAAGCGAAGAAGTAGGAAAGGAGGGACAGCTCCTTGCGAAATGGCCACGGCTCGTATCTCCGCCCGCCTGCCCCCCAACATCGACCCCACGCGCGCGCCCGTGGCCTTCGGACACCGCGCTGTGCCCAAGCTGGTGAGCGCGCTGCGCGACTCCGACCTGCTCACCCGGCAGCGCGCCCTCATGGCGCTGTGCGACCTGGTGCACGACCCCGAGACTGCCTACCAGGCCATAGAGACGGGTGGGAGCCTCTGCAGTCTGCCTGTGACTGTTTGCCTGTTTGTCCCTCTGTCTGTGCCTGAATGTTGTCTGTCCAGGCTGTGTGTCTGTCTGTCAGTCAGTCTGCGTGTCTGTCTGTCTCGGTCCTGCCTGTGAACACAGGTGAGAGGCCAGGGAAGAAGGCTGGGGGTCGGTCTAGTGGGAGTAACGCTGTGCCGCCTGCTGGCATCTCTCTGCAGGCTGCCTGGAGAGCCTGAAGGCACTGCTGAAGGACGAGGACAGCACTGTGCGCCTGAAAACCACTGAGGTGCTCTACCTGCTGGCCACACATAACGTGGGGAGGTGAGCTCAGGGGGCTCAGGGAACTTGTGTGCCCATACATACGTACAGTACTGTAGAGATTGTTATCACACACGTACAGTACTGTAGAGATCGTCAGTCATCCCACACATACAGTACTGTAGAGATTGTTATCACACACATACAGTACTTTAGAGATCGTCAGTCATCACACA